AAAAAAAAAAAAAAAAAAGAGTGTGGTGAGTGGTATAATAGTTTTATCCCAGCTTCCCCCTCCTGTAATTTTTGTCATTATAGATCCCAGTTTTTAAATATCGATTCTAGGTTCAACTAAGTGTAAGTATAAATATAAAAAATTTTGCCAATTATAGTTTTAAGATGGCTGTAAAATTGAACCCCAACTTCAGAGATGTTAAAATGTGGGAAGAAAAATGCCTTAGAATGAATGAAAGAGGGCACTGAGAAAATAATTTATGGTTTACTCTTAATGTTGGCTTGCTTCTTTTCAACCAATTTCTAGGTTTTTATATTGACAAGTTAGAGGAAACTTTTCAACCAGAGGTCACTGTACTCTGATACCCAGGCAGAGACAGACGATCCTTGATTAACAGGTTACTTATTTTAAAAATGAAGTCATACTTACGGAATCATCAATAGATAAGGAATATTCCCACCCAGGTCTTGCTAGGCACAAGTAGGTTTCAATGGGGCATGGATATTTGAGAAGGAAAAGATGGCACCCTGGGCTCACCTTTTCACTGCCTGTACCTCCATATTTGCTTTCTTTAGCTCTGCTGTCATTTGGAGTTTGTTTATAGTTTCCTGTGCTGCACTGAAAAGTAACAGAGATTTGTTAGTTTGTTTTGTGTTGTATTGTGTTCTGAGAAACTAAAAAGAAAGACGGAGGAAAAAAGGCAATTTGGCTAGAGTGAAAACACGAACATTTTAAGGGCGTCTACAGATCTCTGGTCATTTTCTCGAAGGAACTCTTCAAAGGCCATGGCGTCTTCTTGGAGCTTTTTTTCTGCTTTTATGAGTTGCTGTTCCTTCACTGCTATGAGTTTTTCAAACTTTTTAATTGTATTTCTTTTGGTTGAGAGAGCATACTAGGAATGTTGAAAACAGAAGTGCAACATTATTCCACGTTTCTAGCCTGTTGCTAGTACGTTTCTTTCAAAGTAATTTTTTTGTTAAGTTTATTTATTTATTTATTTATTTATTTAGAAAGAGAGAGCAAGCATGAGATGGAGAAAGGCAGAGAAAGAGAGAGAGAGAGAGAGAGAGAGAGAGAGAGAAACCCAAGCAGGCTCTGTACCTTCAGCGCAGAGCCCGATGTGGGGCTCGAACTCATGAACCATGAGATCACGACCTGAGCTGAAATCAAGAGTTAGATGCTTAACCGTTTAACCGATGGAGCCACCCAGATGTTCCCCCATTGCTGCTACATTTCAATAGTCTCATAATAAAGGGTAAAATAAATTGCATACTAAGTGATCACTTGTATTAGAAATAAAAGCATGGGGGCTCCCAAGTGGCTGTTGACTGAGTGTCGAACTTCAGCTCAGGTCATGATCTCATGCTTCCTGAGTTCGAGTCCCACATTGGCTCACTGCTGTCAGCACAGAGCCCACTTCCCGTCTCTGTCCCCCTCTCTCACTGCCCCTCCCCCACTCATGCTCTCTCCCTCTCAAAAATAAAAACAAAACATTGGAAAAGAAATAAAAGCATGCCAAGTCTTGAGACTATATAGCCTTTATCTCATGAGGGAATTTATTTGGGGACCACCAGGAGACTGTTTCCTTTCTTTCACTTTTATGAAGAGCTCAGTATTGTTCCCAAATGGCTGTGCCCCACAAATCAAAAGTAGCTGCATATCCCCTCAGGCTCTATGCTAAGAAATAAAAATAAAAATGAAAAAAGCTACATGTCCCTCCAAAGAGCAGGTCCATCTGGTACTATCCACAATAGCCCTCCAGTATTTCTGGGCATTGAGAAATTGTGCTGTCTGTAGTCACAAAGTCTCCTCCATTAGGAAGTAGCAGGAAAGAATCAGGTTTCCCTGCCATGCCTATAACACATTTCTCCAAGCTGCCCAAGGGTAGGGGTGTTTAACCAGTCTCCAAGAGCCCTGTTTAGATCCCAAAATAAACTTTGACATCTAGGTTTTATTTTTTTAGTACATAATGTAAGAATTTGCTTGGGTTTTTAATGCCGTGCATGAAAAAGAAATTATAAAGTCACATAATAAAAATGAATTTAAAATATTTAAATGAGGAGATTTTAAAGAAATATCAATAATTACCCCAGATTTATAACAAAACAAATTTCATTCATTACTTGACTTGACAAGTATTTATTGAGTGCCTACTGTGTGCTGGGACTGTTTCAAGTGGTGCTAACAGAGCAATGAACAAAATAAACAGATTTGCTTTTATGGGATATACATTCCAGTGGAGCGGGGAGTCCATTACAGGGGGATAAGTGGTCCAATGGGCAAGGGGGGCAAAGGCAGAGGGTTGCCATTATGTAGAGCCAAGAAATGCCTCCCTGATTTGGTGAAAATTAAAGAGAAACTGGAAGGAAATAGGGACCAAATCAGGGGGATATCTGAGGCAGGAATGTTCCTCCCAGAAGGAAGAGCCTTCTGTGCAAAGGCCCTGAGGCAAGGGCAAGATTGGTGTGTCCTAAGAACAGCAAGGAGGCCAGTGTAGTTAGAGGAGAGTGAGCAAGGTGGGGAGTGGTAGGAATGAGGTCAGAGAGAGAGAGAGAGAGAGAACAAGCCAGGGACAGATAAGTCACTAGAGGTCTTCAGCAGAGGAGGGGCATGTGTGGAGAAAAGACTCCTACCGCTGTGTGGAGAACAGACTGAGTGTAGGGAGCAAAAGCGGAAGCAGGAGACCAGTGTTCAGAAGTTATAACAGTAATTTGCACAAGAGATATTGGTGACGTGGACTACAGTTGCAGCAGGGGAGGTCATGAAAAGTAGTGTGATTATGGATATATTGGGAAAAATATATTTGAAAGTATATTTGGAGCTGGGTTGTAAGTAGGAGAGTTGAGGATAGCTTCAATATTTTTGTCCTAAGCAACTGGAAACGTAAAATTGCTACTCACTGCAATGGGATCACTACATGAGATGGAGATTTTCAGGGGTAGAGAAGAGTGTAGAAGGGACAAACTTTTGGAAAGTCTGAGTTTGTGAAGTCTGAGGTGCCTATTGGGCATCCAAATGGAGCCGTTAAGAACCGTAGTTGCCTTTGTAAGTCTGGAGTTCTGGGAAGAGGATCGGGTAGAGAAATAAATTTGCAAGTTGTTAATAGGGAAGCGGGATTTAAAACCATGGGCCCTGAGGGGTGTAGATAGAGCACAGGGTGAGGAGTGAGCCCTGGGGCACTCCAACATTTGGAGATTGGAGAAAAGAGGAACCGGAAAAGAAAACTGTGAAGGAGTGAGCAGCCAGTGATGAAGAAGAACTAAGAGACAGTGGGTATTGGAAACCAACCAAAAAAAGCATTTCAAGAAAGAAGAAATGACCAAATGACCTAAGTGCTGCTGACGGGCAGTAAAAGGAAGACTGTGAAATGACAAATTGAACTTGGCGATGGGAAGGTCACTGGTCACCTTGACAAAGTAGTTTTGGTGGACTGATGAGGACGAAAGCCCAACTGGAGTTGTTTAGGAAAGGAGAGGAGGGACAGTAGCTCTGGAGACTGTAGTGGAAAAATAAAATGTCAAGGTGAAAATTTGGCAGTGCTACGCAAGAAGTCTTCTATTTGACTAATGGAAGGGAGAAAGAAATTATTTTTACTACCTCCAGCAGAAACCTGTCTCTCTGGTCATTAATAAATTCATGAATGGTCCTTTTTGCGTCTGCACCTTCAAAGAAAATGGGAATAGACTTAGGTTTAATTCATTATCCCTCAAAAGCCTGTATAAAACAAAAGCCATGTAATTAAATCACTGTATACAGTATGTATCTGACTTTAAAAAATCATTATACCTTCAAATAAACATTTTTCCTAATCACTCAAAAGCTGATTTCATAATAGTAACTATCATTTATTTTATGCCCATCATATTCCAAGAACTTTATTAGACACTTTATTTTTTTAATGTTTATTTATTTTGAGAGAGAGAGATTGAGTGTGTGTGTGTGTGTGTGAGCTGGAGAGGGGCAGAGAGAGAGGGAGAGAGACTCCCAAGCAGGCTCTGCACTGTCAGTGAGACCATGACCTGAACCAAAATCAAGAGTGGGACACTTAACCAACTGAGCCACCCATTTGCCCCTTGGCAACTTAAATAGATTACTTTATTTAATTTTAACAATAACCCCAATGAGGTACATATTTCTATCCCCATTCTATATGTGACCTCAGAGATGTCAAGATACTTGCCCAAGATAATAGAGCTAACATGTGGTGGAATGGGCATATGACTCCTCAGCCTGTGCTAAAGAAGACTGAGCTGTTTTAAATCTTAGTGTTTTGGCCAATCTAGCTATAAAACTGAAGTCCTTTGGCAAAATATTCTTGGGGGTCACAAACCAAATTTACAGCAGGAAAGAAAAAGATGACTACCTTTACCATCTAGTAATCAAAAAGATCAGTTTCCTTTCAAGGTTTCTTCGTTCTAGAAAAATTATACACAGGCTGCATTTCAATAATGTTCACTTCATGAAGAACCACCAGAATGTGGTATAGAACAGTCTTTTGATTAAAATGTAAATAGAAGTAGAAAATAGTGTTTTTCTGTTTGTTTTTAAAGTTTATTTTTGAGAGAGAGAGAGCACGAGCTGGGGAGGCAGAGAGAGGGAGAGAGAGAGAATCCCACAGGGCTCAAACCCATGAACCGTGAGATCATACCTGAGCCAAAGCCAAGAGTCAGACACTTAACCGATTGAACCACACAGATGCTCAAAAAAATCTTGTTTCCCAAATGACCAGTGAGCCTGTACTGCATGCACTAGGAAGGAAGCCCACAGTCTTGGACCGTATTCTGCCTCTGCCTCTGCCTCTTACTAGCTATGAGGATGTGAGTAAATTACTCACCCTCTCCAAGCCTCAGTTTTCCCATCAGCAAAAATGAGGACACTAATTGTGGTAAATTGTATTATTGTTCCAAACTATTTTCTGCCCCCCTCTGTAAGAAGATTATCTCCCCCCTACCACCCCACCCTGCCCCGTATCAGGCTTGACCATTGACTGGATTTGGCTCATGCAATACAAGAGGAAGTGATCTGTGATGCTTCCAAGTACAAGTTTTAAGAACCACCACTGGTTCTCTCTTTCTCCTTCTGCAATAACTCCAGCAACATATCAGACAGGGGTTGTTCCTTCAGTGCAGGACCCAATGAAAAGCACCAAAGTTGAAAGGTGAATGAGAAATAAACTTCTGTTGTTGTCAGTCACTGAAATTTAGAAATGGTTTATGACCACAGCATAAAGTAGCCTAATGGATCATTACTATAATTTCTACCTCATAGTGGTGTTGCGAGAAGGAAGTGAGGCAACATGCTAAGAAACACATCATAGCTTCTTAATCGCTAGCTATTATTGAAAATACAATTAGAACGAGTAATCACTTAATTTTCCCAGGTCAGTAATAATAGCAATTATGATTATTATAATCATTAATAGTTCTGTGATTATGGGTAACAAACAACAAGATTTGGAGTCAGACATTGGTTTGAGTTCTGTTCCACCTAGTGACCTTGAATTAGTGATTCAACCTCATTGGGCAATTTTCATCAGAGGAGGAGAGGAGGCAACAATATCTAACAGCATTTTGTTGAGGATTAAGTAAAATAACATATGTGAAAGGAATAAGCACCTGGTTATAACATAGTTTTCTTTTTAATGCATAAACAAATTGATTATAAAAAATCCTCAACATTCATAAAATTAGAGTCATAAAATGAACTGCCATGTACCTATCACCTACTTCAACACAATCAACATTTTACTAATCTTGTTTCATCTCTTGCCACCCCTCACTTTCCCCCTCACTGGAATTTAAAAAAAATTTTTTTTTATGTTTATTTACTTTTGAGAGAAAGAGAGAGAGAGACAGAGACGTGAGCAGGGGAGGGGCAGAGAGAGAGTGAGACAGAATCCGAAGAGACTCCAGGCTCCGAGCTGTCAGCACAGAGCCGATGCGGGGCTTGAACTGACAGAGTGAGAGATCATGGCCTGAGCTGAAGTGGGCCGCTTAACTGACTGAGCCACCCAGGTGCCCTGCCCCTCACTGGAATATTTTAAAACAAATCCAAACCATTGTTACCATTGGATCCATAAACGCTTTAGTATGTAACTCCATCAGATAAAAGAGTCTTAAAACATAGTCATAATACAACTATCATACCAAACAAAATGAACAATTCCTTAGTATCATCTTTACCTACTCTGGGTTCAGATTTCTCCAGTTGTCTTAAAAATAACTTTTTAGAATTAAAAAAGTTAAAATATAAACAAAGATCAGTTTGGTTGGCATAAGTCCTAAAGTCAATTTTTTATGTATAACTTCCATCCCCATCCCCCCATAAACACTACCTTTATTCCATGCCATTTATTGGTTTAAGAAACCAGATCAATTTCCCTGTAGAATTTCCTTTATA